TACCTTTTATCTTTTTCTTAGATTATTATTTTGTCCTTGTCTTTTTTGACCCCATTCCCCACCCCCCATTTTTTCACCCCCCCCTTCTTTTCTTCTTTTTTTCCTTGGCTTTTTTCCCATCATTTTCTATTTTTCCACTTTAAGAATATTTGTAAGTGACAAGGGGAAAGTGCATCACAACAATGAGATATTATTATTTACCGTATATACTCGAGTATAAGCCGAGTTTGGCACATTTTTTGTGCTGGAAAAGCCCCCCTCGGCTTATACTCGACTTAAGAGCTGTATTATGGCAACTTATATTGCCATAATACAGACCAGGACAACCAGGCTCATTACAAGCGCGGTGGTCCTGTTGGGGGCCGGAGCAAGCTGTTACTTACCTTTATAGCAGCTCAGTGCAGCTCCCAGTATAAGTCTCGCGAGACTGTCAGAGCATTGCCACTGGTTACCGTGGCAAGGCTACACGCAGCATGCAGACCGCGAGACTTACCCAGGGAACTGCTGGAAAGTAAGAGCTTCCGCACCCCACCCCCCCAGCACATCCATGCCACTGGATCACCAGGGATTGAGATATCCCCCCTCACTGGCCAAGTATTAAGTAGGGAGGTGGGACAAAAATAATGTTTAAAAAGTGTAATTAAAATAAATATAAATAAAAAAATTAAAATAATAAAAAAGCCCTCCCCTCCCCCATTGATGGGAGTCTGACACCCTTTTCTGACTCCCTGTATATGATGCAGAGTGTGTGTGTATATAATGCACACACTTTGCATTCTATACAGGGAGGCAGAAAAGGGAGTCAGACTCCCATCAACCTGAGTCACCCTCTTGCACCTAAAATGTAGGCAACAGGAGGGTGACTTAAATATTATCTATATTTAATATTAAATATTATGTGTATCTTTTTTGTATGAATGTGTCTGTTTGTAATATGTATGTGTGCCTGTCTGTATGTGTCTTTGTATGTATGGTTTGTGTGTGTCTGACTGTGTCTGTATGTATGTGTGTGTGTGTGTGCCTGTCTGTCTGTATGTGTGTGTCTCTGTATGTATGTGTGTGTGTGTGTTACTGTCTGTCAGGGGGTAAGAAGGAGGGAGGGGCCACTGGTCCCACTTACCTGTTCTCCGGTGCAGTGCGGGTGTTCACCAGTCTCTTCCGTTCATCTGCAGGCGCCTGCAGCCTCTGTGGGTGGTCCAATGACTGTTGATATCACCGTTATTCTTTTCTCCTGCACGCCGGCCGTAACGCAGCGCATGCAGTAACACAGCCTGTATAGTATGAGCCCCAACAAAGGCTGCTCTATGCAAACATAGTTGGCATTCTTTTTCAAAGTCTTTTTTTTTATGCTCTTAGAAATGGATCTCAATACTTTTAATCCCGGACCAAAACAAAAACGCATTTCATACGATGCTGTTTTCAAGCTCAAAGTCGTGTCAAGAGCAGAAGAAAGCAATAACAGTATTGCAAGTAGGGAATTTTGTGTTGACGAAAAACAAGTGAGGGAGTGGTGGAAAATAAAAGCTGACTTGGAAAAGATTCCAAAGGCAAAAAAAGCTTGATGTGGTTTAACAACTTCATATAGGGCTCTAGAGACTGAATTGCATAAATGGGTTATGGAGTGTCGTCAAAATGGTTACTGCGCAACACTCATGGGAATTCGATTACGTGCCCTTCAGATGGCTAAAGATGACAAATTAAAAGCACCAGGCATTGAAAATTTTGTTGCGTCAGCAGGATGGTGTACCCGCTTCATGAATAGGTTTGCCCTATGTTTGCGGCAAAGAACAAAGATTTCACAGAAGTGGCCAAAAGACCTTGATGAAAAATTGATGTCATTCCATTCATTCATCATAAAACAAAGAAGGATCCATAACTATGACCTGGGAGATATTGGGAATATGGATGAAACACCTATGACCTTTGATCTTCCAAGCAACAGAACTGTGGCAAGTTTGGGAGACAAATCTATTTTACTCAGAACCACAGGAAATGAAAAAAAACATTTCACAGTCGTTCTGTCATGTTTGGCTAATGGAACTAAGCTACGGCCTGTCATTATTTTTAAAAGAAAGACCTTGCCTAAAAAGGTAAAATTTACACCACAAAATGGCTGGAATAAATTTGGAAATTTGTCTTCTCAAGTTACTTTGGCCGTTATTCCAGGTGGGCTTACATCTGTATTGCAGCCCCTAGATGTGTGTTTAAATAAACATTTCAAAGAGCGTGTGCAAAAGAGGTGGCATGAATGGATGTCATCTGGTCACCCCCGACTGACAAAAGTTGGAAATCTGATGAAGCCCGACAAAGAATTGATAGCAAAATGGGTTTGTGATGCATGGGAAGAGATTCCAGAGGACATGGTGCAACGCACCTTCAAGAAATGTGGCATTAGTAATGCTAAGGATGGCAGAGAAGACAGCGCTTTGTATGAGAACGACAGCAGTGATGGTGATGACTGTGAACTCATTAATGATGACAATGTCTACGCCAATAACCTCACACCAGCTACAGTTAAAGCTCTGTTTGGACATACAGATGATGAGGAATCCAGTTTTTTTTTAACTCTTTTAGCTTAGTTACTGATAGAGCTAAGGTTTTTGTACTGTTAAAGTTATTGTTGATACCATATTGTTTTTGTTGATCCTTTTTTCCCCTTACAGAGCTAGTTTACTGTTTTTCTTTAAAATAAATATTCAAAAACCTTTAACCTACTGATGCCTCAATTAATGTAATTTTATTGGTATCTATTTTTATTTTTGAAATTTACCAGTAGTTGCTGCATTTACCACCCTAGGCTTATACTCGAGTCAATAATTTTTCCCAGTTTTTTTGTGGTAAAATTACGTGCCTCGGCTTATATTCGAGTATATACGTATATCATTTTTTTAAAATTTAATAACTAAATTGACAGCGCCTGCATTTTCACAAATCAGAATTATTAGCCCAGGGTTGGGTTGTTGTACTTGGGTATTAATCTATATTTTTAGACTAAACTTTGGAAATCACAATAAAAAGATACTAAAATAATGTTATTCTGATATTTCACATACAGTAGAAAATGTATTACATTAAGATAATTTCTAAGACATAGTAATATATTTTTTAATTGAGGAGATAATACTCTCCAGTTTACTAAATATTATCTGATCGAGTGTCTTATTTGTGAACATTAATAAATGGGTGATTCCATATTTATCACTACTTAATATTATTATTATTATTATGTTTTTTGTATTCCTGGATATGTGGTTTCCAAGTGTAGTAAATCTCCTAGTTAATATCCATGCCTCACTACCTGCGTAAAAAAGTAGCAGGTACGCGTTGAACATGATGTTTTGTTCAACTCTTTTTTTTAAAATGAAAATTGTCTACAAATGCTATAGACAAATAATGATATGGTTTTTTTTTTGTAAATGTTAAAGGACTGCTCTACTGGGACTCTATTACAGGGGTTATGATGGCTTTTGATGATACTTAGGTGTGTTTTGTGGAATTTCCAAGGGCTTAATTCACCCCAAAAACAGGGGGCAATGTGCAAATTTTGAAAAGACAGTAATCTGGATATAGCTTATATCCAGGAGACTCATGGGATATCCTCTCCTACTAAATGTAGGCATTTCAATAACTACGTCAATCTTAAAGTAAAATGAAAAAAGGGGGGAGTATCCATTGTTTTGTCTAAAAACCTCATTCGAATGTATGCATTCTGAAAGTGATGCTAACGGTAGATTTCTTCTTCTAATTACTAGGATAAATGATAAGATTTTAACTCTGGTGAATATATATGCCCCGAACGACTTCTCAATGAGTTTCCTGGATGATTGCATCTCCAGAATTGATAAGGTTAAAGGACCACTATAGGCACCCAGACCACTTCAGCTTAATGAAGTGGTCTGGGTGCCAGGTCCAGCTAGGTTTAACCCTTTTTTCTATAAACATAGCAGTTTCAGAGAAACTGCTATGTTTATAATAGGGTTAATCCAGCCTCTAGTGGCTGGATCATTGACAGCCGCTAGGGGCGCTTCCGCACTTCTCACTGTGATTTTCACAGTGAGAAGACGCTGCCGTCCGGCTGAATGCGCGTGCGGCTCGTGCCGTGCATGCGCATTCAGCCGATGAGGAGGAGAGTCCCCCGCCCGGCGCTGGAGAAAGAGGTAAATTTAACCCCTTACACCACCTAGAGCTCGGCAAGAGGGTGGCCCTGAGGGTGGGGGCACCCTCAGGGCACCATCGTGCCAGGAAAACGAGTATGTTTTCCTGGCACTATAATGGTCCTTTAAGTGTGGAAACGTAATCGTGGAAGGGGATTTTAATTGCGTTCCAAAATTAAAATTAGACAAAACAAAAACAACAAAAATGAATCGGTGCCAAAAATTAAAACATCCGAAAATAAATTCAATTACTTTTTGTTAAAAAATTCACTTTATGATTGTTGGAAAACTCTCAATCCAGCTTTGAGAGATTATACATATTTCCCTCACGTTCATCAGACCTACTCCCGTATAGATTTTTTTTTAGTTTATTTTTCAGATTACGGACTCTTGGATTGGCTAAATTATTCTATCGAATGCTCCAGTATTTTTAACACTTAAAATTCCAACCTTCTTTAAAATTAGAAAGAGATGGAAACTGAATGAAATCCTCTTACGAATAGATGAGGTAACCACAGACTTAGCTAGGGAATTAGACTTTTTAATTCAAAATAATGATACAGTGCCTTGCAAAAGTATTCACCCCATTGGCATTTTTCGTGTTTTGTTGCCTCACAACCTGGAATTAACATGGATTGTTTGAGGATTTGAATCATTTTATTTACAGAACGTGCCCACAACTTTAAAGATTTTTTTTTATTATGGTAAAGCAAACAACAAACAGGACAAAATAATAGAAAAAGTCAATGTGCATGACTATTCACCCCCCTAAAGTCAATACTTTGTAGAGCCACCTTTTGCGGCAATCACAGCTCCAAGTCACTTTGGATAAGTCTCTATGAGCTTGCCACATCTTACCACTGGGATTTTTGCCTGTTCCTCCTTGCAAAACTGCTCCAGCTCCTTCAAGTTGGATGGTTTGTGCTTGTGAATAGCAGTCTTTCAGTCTGACCACAGATTTTCTATTGGATTGAGGTCTGGGCTTTGACTAGGCCATTCCAACACATTTACATGTTTCACCTTAAACCACTCAAGTGTTGCTTTAACAGTGTGTTTGAGGTCATTGTCCTGCTGGAAGGTGAACCTCTGTTCTAGCCTCAAATCACGCACAGAGTGGTACAAGTTTTGCTCAAGAATATCCCTGTATTTAGCACCATCCATCTTTCCCTCAACTCTGACCAGTTTCCCAGCCCCGGCTGCTGAAAAACATTCCCACAGCATGATGCTGCCACCACCATGTTTCGCTGTGGGGATGGTGTTCTTTGGGTGATGTGAGGTGTTGGGTTTGCGCCAGACATAGAATTTTTTTTTGATGGCTGAAAAGTTCAATTTTAGTCTCTTCAGACCAGAGCACCTTCCTCCATACATTTTGGGAGTCTCACACATGCCTTTTCGCAAACTCAAAATGTGCCATTTTGTTTTTTGCTGAAAGTAATGGCTTTCTTCTGGCCACTCTGCCATAAAGCCCAACTCTATGGAGCGTACGGCTTATTGTCGTCCTATGTACAGATAGTCCAGTCTCTGCTGTGGAACTCTGCAGCTCCTCCAGGGTTACCTTAGGTCTCTGTGCTGCCTCTCTGATTAATGCCTGGTCCGTGAGTTTTGGTGGGCGTCCGTCTCTTGGCAGGTTTGCTGTTGTGCCGTGTTCTTTCCATTTGGTTATGATAGATTTGATGGTGCTCCTGGGCATCATCAAAGATTTGGATATTTTTTTTATAACCTAACCCTGACTTGTACTTCTCAAAAACAATGTCCCTTACTTGTTTGGAAAGTTCCTTGGTCTTCATGGCAGTGTTTGGTTAGTGGTGCCTCTTGCTTAGGTGTTGCAGCCTCTGGTGCCTTTCAAAAAAGTTGTGTATATGTAATGACAGATCATGTGACACTTAGATTGCACACAGGTGGACATCATTTCACTAATTATGTGACTTCTGAAGGTAATTCGTTGCACCAGAGCTTTTTATGGGCTTCATAACAAAGGGGGTGAATACATACGCACATACGACAGTTTTCTGTTTTCTATTTCTAAAAAATAGTTTTATGTATATATTTTTCTCATTTCACTTCACCAACTTAGACTATTGTGTTCTGATCCATCACATAAAATTCAGATTAAAGGGACACTATAGTCACCTGAACAACTTCAGCTTAATGAGGTTGTTCAGGTGAGAACTATAGCTCCCTGCAGCCTTTCTCAAGTAAACACTGTATTTTCTGAGAAAAGCTAGGAACACCTCCAGTTGCAGTCACTCAGAATGCCACCAGAGGGACTTCCGAGTTGATTAAGGCATAAAACTCCTCAATCCACTCAGATCTGCTGTCAGCAGAGCACAGGGCAGCACTGTGTCTCCTCCCTCTGCATGCAGCCACTGAACGTTCCTCATAGAGATTCATTGATTCAATTCATCTCTATGAGGAGATCCTGATTGGCCAGGGCTGTGTTTGAATCATGCTGGCTCTGTCCCTGATCTGCCTCTTTGTTAGTCTCAGCCAATCCTATGGGGAAGCATTGTGATTGGATCAGGCTACCACTTCTGATGATGTCAGCAGACTGTTTTTTTTTGTTTAGACAAACAGCATACAGATTTACAGCTTCTGGCTTGAATACAGTAAGATTTTTACTATATTTATGGAGGCATGAGGGGCCCGGGGGGGAGGGGGGGGAGCTAGATGGTGGTGTTAACACTATAGGGTCAGGAATACATGTTTGTGTTCCTGACCCTATAGTGTTCCTTTAATAAAACATTAAACTTAAGGCTGTAATGTAACAAAATAGGTAAAAAGTCAAGGGGGGTGAATACTTTTGCAAGGCACTGTAACAGGATGGTTTCTACATCTATTGTTTGGTGTACTCTAAAAAGTTTCGCTAGAGGGGTTCTAATAAAAGCAGGCTCAAGGACAAAAGAAAAACAAAGATGAAAGTATCACTACATTATATATTAAGTTGGCTAAATAAGAAAGACTAAATAAGTTACAAACAATTCAAAACATTACTAACAAAATCACGCGCCTGCAACACCATGTAAATAAAAAGATTCAGGATGAGGTTAATAAATCTATAACATTTCTTAAGCAAAAATGGTATCACAACAACAATAAGGTTAGTAAAGTCCTTACGAATAGACTGAAAGATACTTTTAAAGGACCACTATAGGCACCCAGACCACTTCAGCTCAATGAAGTGGTCCGGAATGCCAGGTCCCTCTAGGGTTAACCCTGCCTGCTGTAAACATAGCAGTTTCAGAGAAACTGCTATGTTTACCTATGGGTTAATCCAGCCTCTAGCGGCTGTCTCATTGACAGCCGCTAGAGGCACTCCCGCGCTTCTCACTGTGATTTTCACTATGAAAAGATGCCAGTGTCCATAGGAAAGCATTAAGAAAGCTGACTGACTGAATGCAGGCGCGGCCGATGATGTCCAAAGGAGGAGGAGAGTTCCGGTGCTGGAGAAAGGTAAGTGATTAACTCCTTCAGCCCCCTAGAGCCCAGCAGGATTGGGATCCTGAGGGTGGGGGGGACCTAAAGACCCTATAGAGACCCTACAAACTTGTTTTCCTGGCACTATAGTGGTCCTTTAAGTAAGGGCATCCCTTACTACCAGTGTTTGCTGCCTGATTACAATTCTACGTATAGTTGCCTTTTAGCGCTTATCCTCCTTTCTATTATTATGCAAAAATTACTTTAAACAAATATTATACTATTAATGAGGCAAAAATCTCTCAAATGCATTAAAGTTGGTGCCTGGAGTGTCTCTTTAAACGTTTTTGTCCATTCATATAATTTTTCCAACATACCATACCAGACATATTTTGTCTCATTTACATTCAGCTAAAATTCTAACATACACTGTACGTCAGGCCTGCCCAAAAGGTAGACCGCCAGATGCTGTAGAACTACAACTCCAATGATGCTTTGATTGCCTTTAGAATGACAAAACATCATGGAATCTGCAGTTTAAAAACATCTGGAGATCTACCTTTTGGGCACCCCTGCTGTACGTCCTACAGACAGTTAAGCCCATTACAATGCTCTTATGAAACTGGATGAAAACATTAAAAAAAATAATTATAGTCCATTGTAGTTCAACTGAAAATATGGGTTAGAGGTGGCCACTGTAACTTTAACAGACATATCTATTAATAGAGAGGGTGTCAAACACTATCACTCAAGAGTAACAAACAAGACACATTTTTGGTTTAATTATTGAGTGAACTTTTAATTGGAGTATTTGTAAAATTTGTATGCTATCCATCGTTGTGGACAAAGTTTCATACTCATTTCATAAGAATGATAATCAGGTACACCATCCCACCTGTGATTGTAAATGCATCCCATGGTACTCAACAGAACAATGATTTTCTACCTTGATTCTGTAGAACGCAAAGTTTAACAGAGAAGCAATGTCTAACCTTCAACCGAACCAAAAAAACAAGCTTACTTATTTCAACAACAAATCATAATCTGGAACTCAATGACAATTTGCATCCAATGGCCACTCGGAAGTAAAAATACTCATTTGTAGGCACGGCTGAATGTTTTATGACTTTTATACTTAAAAAAATATATAAATCATGCTACATTTGTTCAATGAATATTCAGTGTAATCTCTGGCAAACATTCAGAGAGTCATTTGGAATCAACCTTTCATGGCATTTACCCAGAAGCATTTAAAACAGACGTTGGAATATTTGCAAAATATTAATTGAATGAGGGTGGCAAACCTACATTTTGCTCAAACATTATAACACATTTGCATGTCCTTGCTTATTTGATGCAATTTGTCTTTGTTCAGTAACCCAAAGAGATGGTGATGCACAGGAGGAGTAAGTGGTCATAATATGTTGATCTTAAACTATATTCATGTATCGAAAAACACAAAACAAAATAAACAGAAAATATTTCACGTTTCCTTAATGTTCAGTCACCAAGATCTTCCTTCCCTGTAATTTATGCATTTTGTGTTACATAAATTGCATGCTCTTGGAATGAGGTATGCAAATATTACTACTTATCAAAATAGTTTTCCCCCCTCTTTCGATACTTTAACAAAATATTTTCACGAATATACAAAGAAAATATAAGCCTGAATATGATTTTTGATGAACATGCATGAGATGTCCTTTAAATCAACTGACTTCACCTTATATTACTAGCATGTGTACTAGCATTAGGTTTATGCAAATCTTACAGAAGCAAAACAGACCTTTATTTAAATTTCTTGAAAAAAAAAAACATTATAGGTTGACTTACACACTACTTGTTGTGTGAAATGACTTTTTATTAGTTTTTTTTTAAATTGCCAATCCTTTCAATTGTCATATTAAGTGAATTTACAGTTCTGGTAGAAAAAATAAATCCAAATAGCAGCTCTCATTTTTTTTGAGAAAATGAGAACACCTCTTACTATGGCTCCTCCTGAATTTAATGGACTAATCCTTTACATCAAAGATTATATGATATAGATGTGTGTTTTTATTAAGAAACACCAAGAAGGGTGGTTTATCCATTTTCATGACAAGGCACAAGCCAGTTGAATCTTAACTATCACAAGTACACACTATAGCATGAACGTTATTTCTGCATTTTACGTTTTTGGTCACAGCCTTTTGATATTGGTCATGTCTGGACTGCGTGAATTGTATCCTATTGACGACATTCGTCTATATCAAGACCTCAAGTATTTAATCTAAAGGGACACTATAGGCACCAAAACATATTTAGCATAATAAAGCAGTTCTGGTGTACAGATCATGCCCCTGCAGTGCAGTCTCACTGCTCAATTCTCTGTTATTTATGAGTTAAATTACTTTTGTTTCTGTTTATTCAGCCCTAGTCACAATTCCACTGGCTGTGACTCACACAGCCTGCATGAAAACAAAATGGTTTGATTTTTGATAAGTTGTTGACTTGTTTTAGAAGTATTTTTTTTCTGCTCTGCAAATCGAACTTTAATCAGACACAAGAAGTTCCTGTAGGGGCTAGAAGACTATTAACATAGCAGGAGATGAGAAATTTTATATCAAACAGAATGTTTAATAAAGGAAGTATAAACATTAGATGTCTCTTTACATGAAGTGTTTAGGAAGGTTGTGTACATTACAAGCAGGGAGGTGTGACTAGGGCTGCATGGACAAAGTGATTTAACACTTAATTGGCAGAGAATCGAGCAGTGAGACCGCATTAGGAATGAAATATACTGCTTTATTAAGCT